CCTCAGGGCCACCTAACCCATCCTATACGTCTTCGTTTGTGTTCACCCACCCAGAGGGAGCCACCTGCGGAGCCTCGCATCAGCGGAGCAGCAGCAGCGACCAGTCCTCGGACTCCTTGAATTCTCCCTCGCTCCTCGCGTTGTGAAATGGGGGCCCCCCTCCTCCAAAACATGGGCACCTCCTCCCTCCCCGGGTGGTGGTTTTTGGCTTTTTTTTCCACACCCCCTTCCTTTTTTTTTTCCTTTATTTTTTTTTTCTTTGGATCACTTGGCCCAAGGGTTGGAGTGTTGGTGAGGTTGAAGGCGCTTTGGTGCCTGGACATGGGGTGTCAGTGATGGGGGCCAGCGTGTTGGAGGTGTCCGTGATGTTTCCATCATTCCTGCGGCATCCCGGCTGCTTTAGAGGTGTCTGTCCCCAACCCCCAGCATCTCATGGGGGTTCATGCAGCATCTCCATCCCTTTTGGAGATGTTCCTGCCCAATTTCCACCACGTGGGGAAGGTTCCTGTGGTGTCTCCATCACCTTAGAGGTGTCCATCCCGAATCCTCATCGTCCCGTGGGGCTTTTATGCGGCATCTCCATCGCTTTGGAGATGTTCCTGCTCAACATTCATCCCTGGGAAGGTCCTTTTGTCATCTCCATCACCTTAGAGGTGTCCACACCTGATCCCCATCATCCCATGGGGATTCATGCAACATCTCCATCCCTTTGGAGATGTCCATGCCTGACTTCCACCACCCTGGGAATGTCCCTGTGGTGTCTCCATCACCTTAGAGGTGTCCGTCCCTGAACCCCATTGTCCAGTGGGGCTTCATGCAGCATCTCCTTCACTTGGGAGATGTCCATGCTTGATCTCAATCAGTCTGGGAAAGTCTCTTGGGGCATCTGTGACACCTTAGAGGTGTCTGTGCCTGATCTCTGTTGTCCTGGGGAGGGTCCTGGTGCCATCTCCATCACTTTGGAGATGTCCATGCTGTATCTCTCTCACCCTGGGAAGGTCCCTGCATCATTTCTGTTCCACTGGAGATGTGTCCGTCATCTCCAGGTCCGTGTGGCATCTCCTTCACCCTCGAGGTGTCCATGCCACATCTCCATCTCCCTTGGAGAGTCCCTGTGGCACCTTCATCGCCATAGAGGTGTCTGTGCCACAGCTGCACCATCCCATGGGGTCCTTGCAGCATCTCCACCGTCTTGGAGGTGTCTCTGCTGTGTCCCCGTTGCCCTGGGAGGGGTCCTTGCAGCATCTCCATCGCCTTGGATGTGCCTCTGCCAAATCTCTCTCACCCTGGGTGGGGATGTGGGGCGGGGTGGTGGTCCATGTGCAGTCTCCATCCCCTCCATGGTGTCCATGCTCCGTGTCCCCATTCCCCTTGGAGATCCCAGCCCCACTGCTGATGCTGGGCCTCCAGGTGACCTCTCCAGCACCCAAAATGTTGGGTGAACTCCCATCCCGCTTGTCCCCCACCCAACTGTGAACGGCTCTGCCCCATCCACCTTTCCCTGCA